ATGACAAACCATTACTGTGATGATGCTGTCAAATCACGCCCTGTTGATGATGATGGTGACGAGCAGCACTCTAATGATGATGACACCGATGCTGGCGCTGGTGGTGATCAGCGAGAGTGCCGCAGATGACAGAGATGCTGTCTCTTATACACATCTAGATGTGTATAAGAGACAGCACTCTCTTGAATCTGTCTCTTACCCACCCCGGCCCAGAACACCCCTCGGCAACTTTTTTTTTTTTTGGTCGACCCCCTATTTTCGGGGTGCGCCGCACCCTGTGTGTGCGCGTCGTGCACGGTGCGGGGTGCAGCGCACCTCGATGCGCCGCAAGTATGATCAAAACCCAACGTTGCATCGAAGAATGAAGTTTGGAATAGGAGCTGGAAGAAGAAGAGTAAAGAGGAGTAGAGAAGAACAATGAACACCGCTGAATGTCTGCTCCTGTTTCGCCATCTCTCCTCCCCCCTAATCCTTCCCAAAGCTCTCTTTATTCTTTGCAAGAGTACTGGAAACCAATGTATGATGATCATCCCTGGCAACTAGCAGCAAGAAACTTTGACAAACTCTTCCCTCGTATCTCGCCATCAAACCTCAACCTTAATCTCACCAAAGAGATGCAACGCCAAGCATTAGTGTAAATGACCCTGCAACATAGAGATATGAATAGCACCACACATAGAACTGAAGATCTTGCCCTCGGATTGCCTTCCATGCTTAGAACTGTCGAACAGAACCAGTGTTCAGAGAAGAGAACCTGGAGTCGCCATACTTCTAGGGGAGAATCATGTCCAAACCCATGCCTCAATGACTTCTGACAGCACTTGGATGTCGGTGAATACGATTTACTGGCTGGCAACTCACACGTGGTTAACCGGGGGTGTTTTTTTCATTGAATTGTGCACTGAAAGTTCTGAAACTGTCATATTGCCCTGTTTTTTGCGTTTTTTGGTGTTTTTCTTTTTGAGTGATATGTTGGTGCTTTAGGGTAGGTCATGTGTCCAGTTTTGACATGTTTGGATCATTATTGAAAAAGTTGGCTTTTCGTTGGATTCGTTGAACGCTTCATTTTAACTCGGAGAGTGTTTTTGTGTTAGGGTTTTATAGTGTTTTCGTGTTGTTTTTTTCATTTTCTTTGGCCTGTTTTTTTTTTTTTTATGTTTGCACTATGGCCCATATAGTTTGTTTTTTAATTTCTCGCTGAATTTTGCACCGAAACTGTCAGCGAAAAATATGATCCGGACCACCGGACAGGGATCTGGACCGTTCGGGGTCCAGGTCCGGATCTTGGTCCGGATGTGTCGGTCCCAGTGCAACCGCCGAATTTTTTTTGGGCGGCCCAGGGCGTTTGTTCACGCCCTGGGCCGGCCAAAAAAAAACAGTGCCTGATTTTTTACCGCCGTCACCAACAATCCGGAAGGCTCGGAAAGTCTACGAGGTTTTTTTTTTTTTTTTTTTTTTTTAACTGGTTCGGGCCCTGCGGGGTCGATTGCGCGGCCGCCATTTTCCAAAGGCAGCCGTGAAATTGAATGCTTACGAGCTGGGCCCCCCCCTGCATCGTAGCTCTCTCTCTCTCTCTCTCTCTCTCTCTCTCTCTCTCTCTCTCTCTCTCTCTCTCTCTCTCTCTCTCTCTCTCTCTCTCTCNNCTCTCTCTCTCTCTCTCTCTCTCTCTCTCTCTCTCTCTCTCTCTCTCTCTCTCTCTCTCTCTCTCTCTCTCTCTCGCGCGCGCGCGCGCGCACACGCTCTCTCGCTCTCTCGCTCTCTCTCGCACACACACAGACACACTTCCTCACCGTCCTCCTCATCCTCCTCCTACACACACACACACACACTTCTCATCATCGTCGTCGACCTCCTCCTCCTCGTCAACCCTGCCGTCCTTTTCTTTCTCCCTGTTCTCCTCGTCGTTGTCTAACTATGCCATCCTTTCTCATCGTCGTCGTTCTCCTCCTCCTCCTCCTCCTTGATCATGTCAACTCCGCCTTGTTTTCCCATTGTCGTCGTCATCGTCGCCGTCCTCCTCCTCCTCCTCGTGTTTACTCCGCCCTGCTTTCCCGTCGTCATCGTCGTCGACGTCCTCCTCCTCCTCCTCCTCGTCAACTGCGCCCTATTTTCCCGCCATCGTCGTCATCGTCCTCATCAACTCTTCCTTCCTTTCTCTCCCTCTCCTCCTCCTCCTCCTCCTCCTCCTCCTCCTCCTCCTCCTCGTCAACTCCAGCCTCCTCTGTCGTCCTCCTCCTCCTCGTCTCCTTCCCCTCCTCCTCCTCTTCCTCATCCTTTTTGGTTTATTTATTTTTGATTTGGTCCATTTCTCGATTAATGTGTGTCATCTTGGCGCAGGGGCCATGCTAATCTTCCCTTGGGACATTCGCTAAAACTGGAAGGAGAAGATTAGCATTGCCCATGCACACGGATGACACGCATAAATTGAGAAACGGTCCCAAAAAAGGAAGAGGAGAACGAGGAGGTCCAGAAGGATGAGAAAGAAAATGAGCCCCCAGTTGAGAAGGACGAGGAGGAGAAGGGGGAGTAGGAGGAGAACTAGAGGAGATAGGAGGCAGAGTCCATGACGAGGAGGAGTGGAGGCATTTTTTTTGTTTTTTCTGTCTCCGGACAATATAGGGGATCCGGACCAGAATCCGGACCAGGGATTCAGACTGGTCCGAATATTCCGGTTTTCCGGAAGTCCAGATGGGCCCGGGCGGCCGGGAGGTCCGGGGTCCAGTGCGGCATAGCTATGGAATGAACCAAGATGGAGAATGGAAAGACCATCACCATAACTACCTTGTGTCCGCCATAGCTAGCCAGGAGGCCTTCTCCTCCCTCTGCCATCAGCCACCCCTGTTTGGACAGCTCCCAGACAAGGGGCTGGCAGATGAAGTGAACTTAGTTCACATGAATTGTGTTTGTAGTAACTTTGTACACCAAGTTTGCTCAATGGTAGTTGTTGAAAATTCCTACCAGACTCCCAGCCCTAAAAGTCTTACTTGATTCCCCTGTGCTGTCCAGATCCTGATTTTGTCCGTTCAAGACTTACCTTATGTGTGTCCCTAAATTCCTGTCCTGTCCCTCAGCATTCTCTTTTTTGCGGGTAAGTCCATCTCGCGAGAAGAGAACACAGCCGCACAAGATTTGTATTCCGTGCAACCACTACAAGTACAGAAACATCAGAAAAATATATGCGAGGTATTGACTGCTGCAAACACACACGAACTCAGAAAAGCACAGGGACTTTAGAAAGTTTAGACATAACTCAGGAAAAAAGTGTTGTCTCAGCAAAATCTTATTCTTCCACGACTGAAATTTAATGTTCATTGAAGGTGTGAAAAAGAAAGTTGTGACAATCTGACTCAATCATGATTAATGAATCGAAATCGTATTCAATAAATATTAAACAACTCCGTGACTGGATTCCTTCCCCCTCCCCCCCCAAAGGTACATTATTTTAGTTTTTAAGCATTAGGGAAGCTCGCAAACCTGGAAATTGAAAAGTACCAGGTTGTAACTTGTAAAGTTGTGAACTTGTCTCTATACGCCCGTAATGCAGAATGTGGAAAGCTCAAGGGAAGTATTATCAAGGGGCTTGAGTCGCTTCACTTATCGTAGTGAGTAATATCATGGAAAACATTACCGGGTAGTTGCCTTCCTGTTCGTACCCCTACTGTACTCATCTGTTGCATGCAATGCCACCATCCCTGCCTTAGTAAGTACGGTGCATTTGGAAAAGCTACACGAACTTGATACAAATTACACTGAAATCAATATTGAACTGAGCAACATGAATCTTGTTGTATGGAATAAGTTTTGTGTCTATTTATCTGTGATATTCCATGCGGATGATCTTACTGATGTGCAGTCACAGTGTCATTATGAGCAGGTGTGACTATGACTATTGATGTCAACGAGGTTGATTTAGGGGATCGTCCAGCAGCTACTAGGAGTTGGAAGCCCTACACGGTTGGCACAGCAAATGCAGAGGGCATATGTGCAACAAAGATGTATCCATCATTTCTTCCAGGCCTTGGTCTGGAGTTTCACACCAGGTAGGTGCTTGCTTCTTGTAAGACCCTAAAACGTTTAAACATGCAGTTGACAAGCCTAAGATGAGAGAAACTGTTGTTACTCCTCTTTTTTTTTTTTTTTTTTTTTTTTTTTCAAATAAATGCAATAGTCTATTCGTGGGGAGCAGCACGTGCTGGGAACCGGGCCCAGCGTCCCATATCGAATTGTACAGATCATTGAGAAAATTTGAGATCATTTGAGGATACCGGGGCCATTACCCGGCTTCGGCTGAGATCAGTCTGTGAATATCTAATGACCTATTAAGGAACTACTCATGCAATAGGCTGCCACAGAGGTCCTACGAATGCTCACAACCCTCAGGATCCCTAACAAGCCCTTCTAAGACTTTCCAACACAGTCTTACTCCCTGCTGAGCTCTTCCAGGCCTCACGCCCCCACCCTGCTGGGTTACAGGGCAACACAACTCGCCCCAGCTCTGACCAGCGTCATCCCAGCAGCAATCCTTGATCGTCCGTTGGGATGCCCACCCCAAAGCATCCTCAGATCTCTCTACCAGGCCTCACGCTCCTGCATCGCAGGTTACAGGGCAACACCCCAGCACCGGCCAGCGTCGTTCTGGCATCGAACGGCCACAGATCACTGAGTATAACAGCATCGAAACCGCCTACGATGGATTGCTAAGAAACCCTAAAGTCCTAAGACATTCATAAGAACAACCGACTTTTTTTTTTTAGACTCTACCAAGTCAATAGAATATGTGTCTCAAAAAGCCTCCCCATCACAAATCAGATAGGTGAAACCTATTCAATCCACCTACAACCACCACCAGCATGGCTAATTTCAACATGAACCGAAGCTCTTCCAGGCCTCATGCTCCCATCAGGTTACAGAGTTGCACCACCTTGCTCCAGCACCGGCCCTCATTGCTCCAGTTACGACCCCCAATGACCACTGGGACTGCCCCCGCAAACAGCCCCCCAGAGCTCTCTACCAGGCCTCACGCCCCCACTAAGCTAGGTCACAGAGTTGCGCACCTAGCTCCAGCTCCGGCCAGCGTTGCTCCAGCGTCGGTCTTCGAGGGCCACCGACTTTTCAACCACCCCTCACATGATCACAGATGGCTTGCCAGATAACACCTATTCCTACAACCTCCTCGAGAAGCAGCCAAATGGAAAGCTATAGTAAACTGGATGATAGATTTCTTTGAGAGAGATCACCCCTCCCTCCCCCTMCCCCTCCCCCCCCTTACCCCTCCCCCCTCAGCCCTACACTGCCTCCGCCGAGGAGAGTCACCCACTCTCCCTCGGCCCCAATATAGGACCAATCCTCTCTCCCCATTTCCCCAGGAGCACGCAGTTCCCACCTAAAGCATGCCCCCCCGCCCCTTGCCCATTTCCGCCTCCGCAGGGACTGATGTTGACCCACACACAGTCCTTGCCCCAGAATAAGGCAACCCCCTACTCCGCCCCTACCCTCTTTGAGACATTCACCCCCCACATGACTACAGTTATTAATGACACACTTACCAAAATATCATTTGCTTGGATTTTGTTGGATTTTGTTGATGACGATGGACAACAGCCTCAAGATGATGAGAATGAGAATGATGGTGACAACCAACTCACCTGCTGATGCAGAGCAACATCTAATGAAAACAAGATGATGATGATGATGATAATGATGAGAATGAAAATGGAATGATGCTGATGATCATACCAAAGAGCAGCACCAACAGACCCTATGATTACAAACTGATGATGATGATGATGATGATGATAATGATGATAGCGATGATGATGGTGATGTCGATAATGATGATGATGATGATGAAGGTGATGATGATGTTGATGACATTGATGACGCATTGATGATGATGATCATAATAATGATGATGTTGATGGTGATGTCAGCAATGATGATGATGATGATGATGATGATGATGATGATGAAGATGATGACGCACAACGCCCTATGATGACTACAAGATAATGATGGTGTAATGACGAGCACCTTAGATGATAACCTAAAGATGATGATGATGATGATGATGATGATAATGATGATGATGACGATGATGATGAGCAACGTCCTATGATGGCGTCAAGCTTTGCCAACCGTGCTATATGATGGAGAGAGATTTGACGATGGAGATACAACAATGAGTGACGAGCAGCGCCCCTGATGCACGGCTCCTTGATAATAGTAATAATATTAGCGCCGAACAGGAGTGAAGACATACACCTTGATGATGATGACGAGCAGTACCCTGATGCTGATGATGGTGATGACGAGCAGCGCCCTGATGATGATGACAAACCATTACTGTGATGATGCTGTCAAATCACGCCCTGTTGATGATGATGGTGACGAGCAGCACTCTAATGATGATGACACCGATGCTGGCGCTGGTGGTGATCAGCGAGAGTGCCGCAGATGACAGAGATGTATACAAAAACCAAAATCAACGCACTTGATATCGCCTCCAATCCTCCACCCGCTCCACGTAAGCACGCGTTGTCGAGCGCATCGGTCCGGCACCGCACAGGGCAGCGCGGGACCCTCCTGACTGCGTCACGCAGGAGTTGTTTCTTAATCCTCGTCGCGATATATACATGGAGCTTCCGCAAGCCGCTCCGACCGAGTGCGCCAGCCATACCTCTTGCGAGCCCCTACGACAGGATAGGGCCTACGCGAGGCACGACTTACCTCCACCTTACGGGAGCTGTCACCTCCCTTCGGTGGGCGTATCCCCGCCGAGCTACCAGTTAACAGTACGAAAGTTGATTAGCTGCAATCGCAGAGGTGGACCAGCCGAGGGCGTTTCTCGTTCGCTGTAGCATAGGGGGTACGCGCGGTATTATGCCTCTATCGAACCCGCACACGAATCGACATCTTGGGGGGCTGAGGTCCCAAGCGCAACTCGTCGCCGGTCGACTAGGACGCATCCCACACGCCACGCGCACACCACTATAAAGAACATAAAAATAAAAACACACACACACACGTACATATACATGTACAGAACGACACTGAACAAACAACGCGACAACACTCCTAGTCCCTTAGTAGCCATCCCATAACTTTCCGATGCTGAAAGCGGATAGGCGTCGCGCACGAGACTTAGTATAAAATCGAGCGGATGCAGGGCCTACTCATATCGACTAGCAATGCAATCGTCCCTAAGCAGTCGCAGTGATGGCGTACTATGTAGTACCCATACTCATGCGATCCTCGTTAATCTCGAGGGTCGCGTTCGACACTCAAGTATCGGCTGACACGCGCCTTGAGGGTTAATCTCTCGACGCTGGACAACCGCCAAGTGCGGTTGAAAACCACACCCTCTTCTACACATTGCGGAGAGTGGGTGGTACACAGGTTCATACCTGTGGTGGCAATCATCTCTTATTGCCCTGGGGACCAGCTCCATCATCTAGGGCCTGGAAAGAAGTCAAGGGGTTTGACTTTGATGGCTGCCACGGACTACAATGTCCAACCATAAAAATCAATAGGCAAATCACCCAATAAATAAATAAACATCCCAACACTCATATATCACATCAGATATCGAGGGAAAATAAACGAAAGGGCAACATAAACCCATCAGGTATGCAGATCGTGCGACACATGGTTGTCATCCTCACTGCCTCCAAAGTATGATCCATATACCAAGCTCCAAAATACTAACCTGCATAAAAACACAGGCACACACAATAGCCACATTGCCATACACCAATGTGGTCAACTTTACTGTTCCCTGTAACTCACACCACGCCTCACACACTCAAGCCCCAGTCATAATCCAACTCTCCATAAAATATCATAAGTTCTTTATAATGGTCATTTAAAAGAAGTCCGGTTAAAACCCTCAAAGAAACATATCAGATCACAAGGCTAAGGCAATCAAGCTGAGGTACAGGTATAAGTAAAGCTGTGTCGTGAGCCGACGAGTCGGCGATCAGCCAACCGACATGTTATCAGTGATAACAGAAGATGATCCTCGTAGGATCAAGCTGAATCTAGTCCAAATCCTGGATCGAATTGTCCAAAGAAGACCTGTATCATACGACAGGTCAAAGTCCAAGCTAAATCGTCAACGTATGGAGATCAAATCCCCATGACACGTTCTCACTCAAGACTCTCCTGATAGCCACGCCTAGGTCTACCTCTAAGCCAGTGCCCAAAAGAAAGGTAGACCTATGGCAGAATCTCCCCCATACAAAGTGGATTGCCAGAGTCGCCACCTGTCAAAATATAATCTACTTCTTTAAACTAAGAAAAAAAAAATGTCTTTCCATAATTTATATCAACCTAAATATGAAAACATAAATAATCTTCAACTTTCCAAAGTAAAATTTTGTCTAACTCCCTGAATTAGCAAAAAATTGGGCAGCACTCCTTTTAGAAAAAAGGACTTCCCATATTTTTACTAAGGCATATATGAAAATCAGACAAGTGGGATTTTGAAAAGTTCAATTTTGACTAACCCCTTGGATTTGCAGAAATTTCGGCAGTGCTTCCCGTAGAGAAAGTAGCTTACCAAAATTCATACAAAGCCAAGTTCATAATCTAAAATGACTTTGACTTCTCAAGGCCCAATTTGATCTAACTCCTTGAATTAGCAAAAATTTGGGCAGCACTCCTTTTAGAAAAGGAGACTTTCCAGATTTTTACTAAGTCATATATAAAAGTCAGATAAACTGAACTTTTGAGAAGACAAAATCTGACTAACTCCTTGGTTTTGTAGAAATTTCGACAGCGCTTCCCGTAGAGAAAGTGGCTTACCAAGATTTGTACAAGACCAAGTATAATAAATATCCCAGAAAATGTAGAAATTGACCTAAGTAAAAATCAACTTAGCTCAGAAAATGCAGGAATTGAAACTAACTCCTAGGGCTCTAGCACGTGGCGAGCAACTAAAGCAACTACCTATCAAACTGAAACTCAGACTAAGTAGTAGCCTCACTTAGTCACATGCAGGCCAAACCACAAAGGTAAGTGCTCTCACCATCCCCAAGTGAAC